TTAATACCTGGTTTGGGCACAAGTTTTTCTTTTAACAAAGACTGTTTAAAAAACTAAAATAGTTAATATTATGTACACTATATTAACATTTCTTGTGTTTTTTTATATATTATAACATATTCAATGTTAAATGATATTAATATTAATGAAATATAAACGTGAATGACACAGAGCCTGCAACCTACAGATTTAAAGATTGTGATTTGTGAAAAATTTCACAGCTTTTATTTAAACAATATCTAGTACCTGGTGGCATTTTTAGAAACCTTAGTTTGAATAAAGTGGATCCCAGGTGCAAGTGACTTCATAACGCGAGAAGGCATTATGCTATATTTTTGTGCTTCAATTGAAGCCTTCTGAAGTCTCTCAAAAACATAAAAATGTAACATATTGTGTGGCATGATGGGCAACCAATTCTTTTAATTTGAAAGAAAATAAAAAATAGGAAGCAATAACATGTGTGCCTCAGATAGACATTTAATGGTTTTAAAACCCATAAAAACGGGTTTAGTTAAAAACATGAAATCCACAAAAAGCGGGTGATTTTTTTTCCCTTGAGATCAGCATAGAATCTTTGTGTAAGATGTAAGTTTTTTTTAACTTTTTAATTAAACATTTTAAACATTTTAAATTTGTAAACACAACACACATTTCCTACAGATACAGTACAATTACATTCTCCTGTCTTCCCATGGTGTGAAGAAAATTAGCAGGTGGCTGAGAAAATAACGCACCGCCCACTGAGCTCAGTCAGAGAAGAGGCGGTACTGTAAGGAGACAGTTCTGCAGCTTGCAGTGTTTATGGTACTGAGCGTGTCTGCCTTAATAATGAAATGTAAATAATTTATTTTAACTTGAAATGCTTTATTTATCATTAAACATAGCTTTACCACTACCATCTACTGTATGTACATTAGGTATATACTATGTACTGTATGAGACCATATGGCTTTAAAGCCACTGCATTACAGTATGTGTGAAATATGTTTTTCACAATTGAAATTTAAAGTTAAATTATTCTGATTAGTCATTGCTGAACTTTGCATTAAGGCACAATATAGATTATCTCAATGTGGATGTAAACCTGAAAGAAGCACGTCTTTTCAAAACAAGCCAAATTAGAATAAAAATCAATTTTTCATATATCGAAGTAAGTAATGTTTTTTTTTGTCAAATAGCCCTACCCTCTTTTTTAATTAATTTAATATTTAAAATACTGTAAAACACAGTTTAAAATTAAAAGTCTAAACAATATACAACTTAAATTCTATAA